TCAAATACAAATAAACTCGAACATAAAGTTCATTACGATTTTCATGAACACCTAAAAGGAACTGAAAATTAGATTCTTGTGTTAATTAATATTCGTTCGATAAACGGCTAAAGAAAGAGAAGTATTTTTTATCCTTGATTTATTATCATGTATTAGGATTTATTATTTTATAATTAATTCTTCTGTTTATTGTTTTTCTTCTTTTCCTTGGTTTTTGTCAGTTCGTTTTATCCTTTTGCTCTTCTTTTATGACTTTCCTACTTTCTTTCTCTCGTTCTTTTTCCCACTCTCTCTTTCGTTTTATCTTTTTGTTCTGTGTTTCTTTTAGGGGATTATCTCCTTTCTGCCTTTTATTCTTTCTTCTTTTTTTATGCTTTATATCCTTCCTTCCTGTGTCCTTTGTCTCTCGTTTTTTATTTTTTTGTTTTTTATTTATTTTATTATTTTTTTATACTTGTCTCTTTCTGTTGTTTCCTTTCGTTTTTTTTTCTTGACTTATCCTTTTCTCTTTCATTTTTTAATTCTCCTTTCTTTCTTTCTTTCTCCCTTCCTCTCTCTCTATCCCTCCCTTTCCCTCCCTTCCTTCCTCCCTCCTATCCCCTTTCTTCCTTTATCCCTCTCTCTCTCCCTTCCTCTCCCTCTCTCTCCCTCCCTTCCTCCCTTCTTCCTCCCTCTCTCTCTTTCTCCCTCCATTCCTCCCTCCTTCAGTCTTTTTCGCCCATTTTTTTCTTTATTCTATTTTCTCAAGTTATATTTATTTTCCTCGGTACCCTCGGTTACTTAGTCTTGAATATAATCATAATCTATATTTTTTCGGATTCAGTTATCATTGATTTATGATTAGTATATTGATATCAGTTGTTAGTCGATAATCATATTGAGACGATTCTAGCTTATTGATAGATGATGCTACACACACACTCACAAACACACACGCACACACAAACACACACGCGCCACGCCACACACACACGCATACACACACACACACTCACACGCTATAACACACAGGCACACACACACAACACACACGCATATACACCACACACACTCACCACGCATATACACACAGGCACACACACACACAGACACAGGCACATACACACACACACACGCATACACACACAACACACACACACGCCATATAGACACTACACTCACACGCATATGACACACAGCACACACACACGCATACACACACAACACACACACACACACACATACACACACACATGCACACACACACACCACGCATACACACACCACACACACACACCACACACACACACACACACACCACACACACCACACACACACACCACACACACACACACACACACACACACACACACACACACACACACACACACACACACACACACACACAAACACACACACCACACACACACACAGCACACACACACACACACACAAACACACACACAATATTCTAATGTATCAATCTCTCTCTCTCTCTCTCTCTCTCTCTCTCTCTCTCTCTCTCTCTCTCTCTCTCTCTCTCTCTCTCTCTCTCTCTCCTCTCTCTCTCATATATATAATATATATATAATATATATATATATAATATATATTATATATATATATATATACATATATATATATATATATATATATATATATATATATATATATATATATATATATATATATATACTATATATATATATATATATATATATATATATATATATATATATATATACCACACACACACACATATATATCTATGGAAAACCGTCCATTGCGAACAATCGCTCCAAATGACTTCTTTTGACATCAAAATTTCCCTTTCACTTGACAATCAACTTTTTTCCCTCTTTTTTCCCTTTTAAACTTTCCTGTTTTGACTTTAAACCTTCATTTCCTTTTCTCTTAAAACATTCATTGACAGTAATCTTTCTTTTCACTTTAACTTCACTGTGTATTGAACAATAAACTTTGCTTTCAATTGACAATAAACTTTACTTTCCACTCACTACGTCGCGAGTGAAACGCACTTTGCAGAAGATCTGGAGTTGGTTGTGGTTCAGTTCACTTCGTTATAGGAATTCGGGAAGTGTGTGTTCGTGTGTTTATTTATGTGTTATTTTTGATATTTATTTATTTATTATTATTATTTTGTGTGTGTGTGTGGTGTGTGTGTTTGTTCTGTGTGTCTCTCTTATGTCTTTCTGTGTGTCTGTCTGTCTGTCTATCCGTCTCTCTCTCTCTCTCTATGTCTGTCTGTCTGTCTATCTGTCTGCCTCTCTCTCGCTCTCGCTCTCTCTCTTAGTCACTCTCTCACTCTCTCTCTCTCTCTCTCTCTCTCTCTCTCTCTCTCCTCTCTCTCTCTCTCTCTCTCTCTCTCTCTCTCTCTATCTATCTATCTATCTATCTCTCTCTCTTCTCTTCTCCTCTCTCTCTCTCTCTCTCTTCTCTCTCTCTCTCTCTCTCTCTCTTCTTCTCTTCTCTCTTTCTCTCTCTCTCTCTCTCTCTCTCTCTCTCTCTCTCTCTCTCTCTCTCTATCTATCTATCTATCTATCTATCTATCTATCTATATCTATATATATATATATATATATATATATATATATATATATATATATATATATATATATATATATCTTTCCATCTATCTATCTATCTCTTTCCCGTGCGTGTGTGACTATCCGTGCAGGTGGCGCTGGGTAAGCTCGCCAAATGTACGCATTGTTGACCTGAATCCACCACTTAATTGCAAATATCTCTGCCAACGTGCATGCAATTAAGCAAGGTATGCATACACACGCATGCGAACCGACGAAAACTAATATAGTGGATACGCATTATACACACACATGTATACATATGTATATGATATATATATATAATATATATATAATATATATATATATATATATATATATATATATATATATATATAATAATATATATGTATAATATATATAATATATATAATATAATATATATATATATATATATATATATATTATATATATATGTATATATATATATATATATAATATATATTATATATATATATATATATATATATATATATATATATATAATATATATATAATATATTATATGATGTGTGTGTTGTAGTGTGTGTGTGTGTGTGTAAATAGTGTGTGTGTGTGTGATGTTGTGAATGTGTGTGAGTGTTGTGTGTGTGTGATGCACACCACGCACCAGATATATATACATAAGATATATATATGTATATAATATATACACACATATTTGTGTGTATGGGTGTAAATCGTACATGTATGTGCTGATACCCATAATCCCCGTGTGTATATGAACTCAAACTCACTCCATATAAATGCATATCCATGAACGCGCAGATCTCCATGTTAANAGCATGTGTACAGCTTTCATTGATTTGTCTAGATTATGTGTATATCTGTTTGCATGCATACACAATATATGCATGCGAGTTCACGCACACACATCACATATATACCACCTATATATACATACACACACACACACACACACACACACATATTATATATATATATATAATATATATATATATATATATATATATATATATATACATGTACATGTACTATCACTATATATATATGTATGATATGTATTATTTATATTTATAATGTATATAGATATGTATACATGTATATACATATGTATATATATGTATGTATATATATTCACATGTAGGCATGTATATATATATATATATATATATATATATATAATATATATATATATGTGGTGTGTGTGTGTGGTGTGTGTGTGTGTGTGTGTGTGTGTGTGTTGTGTGTGTGTGTGCATGTGTACGAGAGTAGAAATGAAAAAAAATGAATATATATACACGTATGTGTACACACACACAAAACACACACTCAATATATATATATATATATATATATATATATATATATATATATATATATATATATATATATATATATATTATATAATGCGAACCTAAATACACACAATCACTGCATCATCGGACCACATCTGACAGAACAACAAATATATTTGGCTTGCTTCCTAAACAGCATTGAAATCTCCACTTTTTCTTGAGGTTGTCAGTCTCTCTGAATTTAAATCTAAACTCTGCTTATTAAGTACAGGTTTCCGCCTTTATAGTCGTCATCATTCTTCGGGTTATATGTTTCTCTCCAACTCAATTCTGACTTTACAACTGTCATCAACTTTATTTTGTCTTTTGTTAGATTTGGACTGCGGGGTTTGATGTCCGTCCCTGCAATATTATCTTGCAAATTTTCTCTCGCCTTTCTCGGCTTTCTCCTTTCGTGTGATAATCCTCGTTCTCTCTCTTTCTCTCTCTCTTTTCCTACTCTGTTCCCGATTTCTTTAACAACTTTTACCGATTTTCTCTTAACGACGATTTATTGCTTATTCCGCCCCTCGTTTGGGTCTTTTCTTCCTTAATGATTGAAATGTTATCAAATTTCCTTATCAGAAAGAAGGCGAGAGGATGAGGTCTAAATCTCCTCCTTAAATGAGAGATAATGATAACTTTCTTTCAGCTCCTTCACAGCGTTCATTAGAGTAATTAACGCAAATCCTGAAACTATCAATTAGATGTTCGATAATTTCCCGAAACATAATTTGGTCCTAATTGATCAGAGTACCATCAGTGTGGAATACATCTTACCTAAAGGATCGGTAGCAGCCACCTTCTCAATTAAAATACTCTCGAGAGCTATTTATAAGGCTCTAGTATTCAAAATTTTATGAGGATCCACCAAATATGGACATGTTAACCGTGGTATCACTCTATCTTAACATTTTATTTTTTCAACATGTAATGTACATTAGACTCCACCCACCTCCCGGGATCCGCGAGCTGATTGGCCGGGCGGACGGGGTGCCTCCGCGCCGATTGGTCTAGAGTGACGTCATTGTTAAAATTAACCCAACCGGAACGCACGAGGACTCGGCCATGTGACCAATACAGAGAGAGAAGAGATTTGAGTAAGTGTTTCAGAGCACGTGTGACCGCCAAGCAGGTCGGGTGTGTGCAGGCCGTCTCTCAGAATCTCCTGAAGGCGAGGAAAACTCAAGGCTACGACCATAGCTGTAGAAGGAGTGTGTGTGGGTGTAGAGTCACGGTCACCCAGGCCTACGCTAGCTGCTGCAACTTCCTCCTTACGATCGCTGTCGGTACAACGAATTCTAATAGATGGCTGATTGCAAATTTAATGAAGATGAAGCAAGTTACAGTTGCATTGTTGCGACTGCAGTAACTGTCAGTATTCATGTATAGGAAATTTTGTGTGGATGTGAATCTATAGGAAAAGATTAAATAAAAGTACCAGTGAGCCAGACTATCGTTTATGCCTTAGAGACAATAGTGATTTATTATAAGAAAAGGATAATAAGCATACATACATACATGCAGATACCAGTGAAAACAAAACGAAAAGCATTGAAAGAGAACTGAAAAAAAGAAAAAAAGAATATATAGAACCCAAAACAAAGAACTGGATAATACATTAATAAATCTTTCCATACAAAAAATAATAATATGCCAGCCAGTAAACCACCAAGTATATGGTAGAAAGAGCCAAAGACACTAGTAAAAAAAAAAAGAAAAGGAAAAGAGAATACCCACCATATAAAAATCCTACTTCCTTGTACGACCCCCAAGGACCCCCGAAGACCATGAAGCCCGACCCCTGCATTGACCGCGCCCGATGAAATAGGAAAAAAAAAGGACGAAAAAGTAATCAATCCCCTTCCCCCCCCCCCTCTTTTGGACTGTTCTGCGGATTTCTCGGAGGATCTATTCCCACCTGTGCTCCACCTGTCAGCCGGTCGGTGATCAGAGATGGTGGAACTGGTGGAGCGGGTTGAGAACTACAAGGATACCACGTTTAAGTACCACCATCCCTACCTACCACACGGGAGCTCCAACGTCGAGATCTCAGAGGTACGTACTCGAAAGGGGCACGCGAGGAGGAAGTATTAAATTGATAAATCGATTATTTTTATTTATTGTTTAATACAGTCTACCAAAGGGTTAAAATACAATTCACTTTTGTGTTGTTGATGTTAACCGAGTTGTATTCTTATTTCTTATAGATTTAGGGTCTGGTATATATATATATAATATATATATATATATATATATATATATATATATATATATATATATATATATATATATATATTATACGTTTATACAAAGGGTTAAAATGCAATTCACTTTTTGTTGTTGTGTTGTTGATGTTAACCGAGTTATATTCTTATTTACTTAAGATATAGGATGTTTGTATCTCGTTCTGGTACCAATGATAGTGATACACATACCCTGGACATTACATTGGATTCAAGGCTCTTAGGAAAGTGTAAAAAAAGCAAAAATCTTAAAGGACCTGAACACAATTCGTTTTGAATTGACTCTGCAGACACCAAGGGCCATAATGATGCATTGCGGATTATCAGCATACGTGCATAAATCAAAGTCATTGATAACATCATGCCGCACTTGGTCCGTTTTGCCGCAAATGTATATATTTTTGCGGTTTTGATTTTTCACCCGAATCAGGACGATATTATATTCGTTCGTTATCCAAAAGTGAACGTGATTTTGGTAATGTTCAGTATATCGGTTTTGTTATATTGTATTTTGAGTATATAGAAAGACAAGGTTTTGTAATTGTTTTGAGTATATTGTGAAGATATAATGAATTTCGTTTTTTTTTTAAAGTATTGAGATGTATTTATTTCCTTTTAAAATATGTTCTCCTTTTTGCTTTTGGTTCGGATTCTGCGCAGCTCGTTTTGAGGCGCGTTGTTTTGCGCATTTGCAAATCGAGGAGATGAGTTTGCAGGATGCGCTGTTGGCAGGCGATGCTTGGGCTTTTTGTTTCAAGGAGATATGTATAAGAGGGGAATAAGAGGACATAATGGACACGTTTATTGTCTCTGTCTGTCTCTGTCTCTCCTCCTCTCTCTCTCTCTTCTCTCTCCTCTCTCNAATATTCTGAGAAAGAGCACACTTTTATAAAATACATGTGTGTGGATGTGGCTTCCATCATTTTTCTCTCTCTAGCTCTTGTCTATCTATCGATCTATCTTTCTTCTCTCTCTCTGTCTCTATCTCTCTTTCTTTCTGTCTCTCTCTCTTTTGATTCATCTCTTTCATTCCTTCCCTACCTGTCTATCTATCTTAATTTGTTAGTCTTCTCTCTCTCTCTCTCTCTCTCTCTCTCTCTCTCTCTCTCTCTCTCTCTCTCTCTCTCTCTCTCTCTCTCTCTCTCTCCTCCCCATATCTTCATCACTTTCATTTCTTCCCTACCTGTCTATCTATCTTCTTATCTTAATGTTTGAGTCTTCCCTCTCCATCTTCTCTGTCTGTCTGTCTCTGTCTGTCTCTCTCTCTCTCTCTCTCTCTCTCTCTCTCTCTCTCTTGATTCCTCCCTTCCTCCCTCCCTTCCCTCTATACCTGTTTCGCTGTCCCAGTGTCTGTCTGTCTATCTATAAATCTGTTTATCTGTCAGTCGATCTATCTATCTATCTATCCATATGTTTGTCTGTCTGTCTGTCTATCTATCTCTCAAGACGTCCATCGATCTATCTACTTTCTCTCCTCTTTCTTTTATCTTCACTGTCTATCTATCTCTTTGTCTCCCTTTTCTCTTTCTCTCTTTGTTACCCATTTCCGTGACCTTTATTCCGTCCACGCTTCTCCCCGGCTATATTCTTGGCACGGGAAAACGAAAAAGAAAGGCAATAATAATAATAATAATAATAATAATAATAATAATAATAATAATAATAATAATAATAATAATAATAATAATAATAATAAAAACATCATCCGGCCATATTCTTGGCACGGGAAAACGAAATAGAAAGACAATAATAAAACAAAAGAACATCACCCGTTGATATATATATATATATATATATATATATATATATATATATATATATATATATATATATATATATATATCTTCTTCATCCTCGTGTCCCTTGCATCGTTTCCCCTCAAATTCTCTCTCTCTTCTCTTCCTGTTCGTGGAAGGACCTCTCCGCGTTCTCTTCTTCAAAAGGTTAATAAACAAAAGCGACGGATGTTGTCCTTGGGAATAACTACCCCGTTGGTCCTTCGAGGTAATATTTACCGTGTGTTGCAGCGCCATAAGGTTGTTAATGGCTTGCGCTCCGTCGCCCTCTAGGGTACTTAACGTCACGCTGGTCGCCCTGTCACGACCAGAAGCGAAGGGGAGGAGATAGACAGGACGGGGATAAAAATGGGAGGGAGAAGGGAGAGAGGAGGAAGATGGAATGAGAAGAGGGGAATCAGGGATAAAAAAGGACGGGGATTTGATTGCCTTTTTGGAGGTTGCGAAAAGGGTTTCGCATATCGGGAAAATGTTCAAATTTTCCTCTTAATATTCAAAACGATTTTTCGAAATATTTCCCATATTTCTTTGATCTTTTCTTCTCCTAAAAAGAAGAGAAGAAAAGAAAAAAAACATAATTTCTCTCCTCCTCTCTCCTCCCCTTCCTCCTCTCGCCGAGACCTCCGCTCAAAAGCAAGTGTTTAATATAAATCGCGGAACCAAAAGAAAGTGGATAAAGTTTGTGTTTAGAGAGAAGTTCCCGAAAAAGAGTCTGGCGGAAGTTGTTTTCTAAGACACCTAATTCACGCCCGTAACTCACGAAGAGATTGTGAAATACAGACGAGATGGTGGGCGTCGTGGGGGACTTGCAATGGCCTCAGAATCGAAGACTTTCTGGGGACTTTTTTCGTCTGGCTGAGCTGTCTGTCAAACTGTCAGTGTGTATATAGCTACAGGTGCGGTATCATGTTTATATCTATGTACACATGTATATATATATATATATATATATATATATATATATATATATATATATATATATATATATATATATATATATATATATACATATACATGTAACACACACACACACACACACACACACACAACACACACACACACACACACACACACACACACACACCACACACACACACACACACAACACACACACACACACACACACACATATATATATATGTATGTATGTATATACACGCATGTGTGTATGTAGGCATGTAGGTATCCATGTACTATATATATATTTAAGTACATCCGACGGATAAATACACGCACATATGTGTACAGAAAAGTGTTGGGTAATATTATCATGAATATCTTAATACTATACCTTTTATCTTTACTCCCTCTTTCTTCGGGTAAATTGATCATGAATATTTTTACTAGTCTTCCCTCCATCTCGATCTCTCTCTCTCTCTCTCTCTCTCTCTCTCTCTCTCTCTCTCTCTCTCTCTCTCTCTCTCTCTCTCTCTCTCTCTCTCTCTTCTCTCTCTCTCTTCTCCTCGGCATCTTCACCGATTCTCTCTCCATCCCGTTCATCCTTATCTCTCCTGCAGCCACTCTCTCTGTTCCTCTTCTCTCCTTCTTCTGCCCTCTCTCATTCTTGCTCTTGGCCCTCATATCCCAGTGTTTCTCAGCCGGACTACTAGTTCTCTCTCTCTCCTGTCTCTCTCGCTCACACAAAACATACACACCGTCTCTATCAACGGCAATAAGAAAAAATCATAGGCTCACCTTTGCATGGTGCTCACGAGCTCTCGGGTTCGTCTAGCGCTGCCTTCGTAAGACTCTTTTCTTCTTTCTCTTCTCTCTCTTGTCTCTCGTCCATCGACTCTCTTGCGTGCTCTCTCCCGTCTGCTCTCTCTCGGGGTTGGTCTGCGTGTGGTGATGCGGGTGTTTCTTGCTCTGTCACATCTCTCAGTGTCCTTTTTTCTCCCTGTTACTCCAGTCTCACCTTCATAATCTTTTCCTCTTCTTCCTCATTTCTGTTTATTTTTATGCTAACTTATTTCAATTCTAAGCTTGACTTAAAATCTACGCATTGTCCCTCTCGCTACTGGCGCTCCTATAAACTGTCATTACTCACATGCCATGTATCTTTCAACATCTCATTGAGTACAAATAACTCATTCAACATACACTGTGCTCTCTACGTAGTAGCCTATCCTGAGTGCTCTCACTTTTACAATATACAGGTATAACTTACTTGCGTCGAGAAAGACTATCGGTCCTCTGTCTCTTTTCTTCTTCCTGTCTGTGCATTACACCGTGTAGCTCTACTTGCAAGTAAATTCTTCTCACAAAATCTTCTCGATTCATTTCCGTAATAGAGCGTATTTTAACAGTGTCAGTATAAACATAACATTTCAAAGAACCAATTTCTTTTTTGAAAAATACTCCCACAGTACTTAATTAGTTTTCCTCAAGACTGATCACATTTCAAGTGAAGATATTCAAATGTAATGAATTATGATCCTCGCAAATTATGATATCTCTAATCATCAGAAAATGGTTCTCACCTAGATGGAAACTTAAGTTATTAATGTTAATCATCGATGGATTCCCTATATTTGATATTTGTTACAGAGAAATTGTCCAACGAGGTCTTAAATAAGGTCAGCTTTAAGGAACTTTCGGATATTGTAACTTGGAGGGAGAAAAATACTTGCTCGTAGTAGTTACAGTAGGAACTAAACCATACAAACAGATTGAAATGAAGGTAGCTATTGAGCGCGATAAATCCCGACTACATCGTAAGGCCAAATTTATTCATGCTGTCATTATCGAAAAAAAACATAGTATTATCTGATGTAGATCCTATTAGTTGACTTAAGTGAGAGCAGCGGTCATATAAAATGTTGCGATAAAATCTAGTATATCGTCAAATATTTGTTTAGATCTCTTAATATAACAAAACTATATCGTGGAGTATGAAACTACATTGATTTTTGTATTTATGTATATCCAAACTAAAGGATAATGTCTTAAATCCCCTTTACTAGTTATAAATTCGTCAGTCGTCTACACAATGTGGGAAGAGTGAGCGAGACGGCTC